GTAGTAGTAGTAGTAGAAGAAGCAGAGGTAGCAGACGTGGCTGTAGCAGCAAGTAGCACTGCTAATGACACTGTCGTATTCTAAGATTTTTGCAGCAGTGTTGATGCTGGTGCTTCAGCTTCTGTGTCCTGCTTTGATGTCATTGGTGCTGTTGTTGGTGATGCCGGCACTGGTGCTGCTTCTGGTTGTTGTCTTGGTGGTGGTGGTGCAGGTGGTTTTCGTTGTCGTGCCAAAATTTGCACTTGCTCTTGCTCCCTTTGTAGGCGAAGCTAGTGGAGTTGCCAACATTGCGGTCGTCAACGCTTTGCTACGTTCCTGTACCGGCGGCTGTCCTCGCAGCAGACCTTGCTAAGACAGCAGCAGCACCACCATGACCACCACACACCAGCAACAACGGCAAAGCAGCAGGAACAGCACCAGAGGCAGCTTCCTCTGCAGCGAAGTGGTTCAACGATGCTCCATTAGTCTAGCTAGTGAGTCTAAAGTCAGCAGCCACACATATCAGCAGCTGCAGGTCACGTAAGACGACCGGTTGTTCATGGCCTTTGAAAACAATAATAAACAGGGTATTGCAGCTTACTCAACCTCCTGGTTTTATCCACGAGGCTCACAAAATTCAGGCCAGGCGCAAGCTATCATGAAGCATTGGGCGACAATCTGCGGCTTTCTTGATTTAATCACCTCCGAAAACCTTGGCTGACTGCTGAGCTCATTCTACACTCGTAGCCTCGAGGCATTCTTGGTTTCTCACTAATTATGGACCAGCAATCATAAAAGTTGGAACTGCCAGTGCCAGACCAGGAGCGGCTTGTGGATCATGGCCCTCAAGCTCTCTGTCACGACGGGAAGGATAGGCTTGGGCTTGCCGCCTTTTTTTGTAGAGTCTATGATATCAAGGGCCGACACCTTGGTTCCGAGAAACCCTAAACTTCACTCGGAAGCCTATACCCAAGCAACCTTCAGCAATATGCAACAAGGTAGATCCACATGGTGCCAGACTTTTATGTAAAAAAGGAGACCTGGTCCAACAATTGAAGAGACCTCTATAGCGCTCCTCATGTCTGCAGCTGTCTCTGGTACCTACCATATATATACACACATATTTATACTGTGACACACATGCATAGATGTATGTATGCATTCATGCTTCTATACACACTATCTACACCTGGATCTAGGTATGCCTGTATACCTGTATATATATATATATATATGTATGTGTGTGTGGTGTCGTTATTGTTATTAATATTTATTGGTATCATCATTTTGCTATTATATTATTACCATTATAGTTAGTATTACTATTACTGAAATCAGTATTATTGTTATTAATATTCTTCTTCTTATGATTATTATTATTATTATTAATGTCAGTTTTGTGGTTATCACTATAATTATAGTTGTTGTTAGTATTGTTGTATTTGTTATTGTTACCAATATTATTACTATTACAATCCTTATGTTTATTACTAGCAAAATTTTATACATATATACTTATTTATTTATCTATTCATTTATTGATTATGTATGTCTGTCTGTCTGCATGTGCGTATACACGCACATGCACATAAGTGCTGGGCGCAAACCAAACGCTTTTGCAGCATCCTCTGGACCCTTTGTCGCTGAGGACGGGTGGCCCCAGCAACAGCAGAAGCCGCAGCAAGTGCCACAACACGGTGGCACTAAAGCCGCAGCAGCTGGAGCAGCCGCAGCCACATCAACAACAACTACACAGCAACAATCGCAGCTCCAAGAGCAACAACAACAGCAGCAGCAGCAACAGCAATAGAAACAACAGAGTCAACGGCACAGAACACAGCCCTAACAGCCCCTAACACCCCAAAACAAGAAGTGTGCGTTTGGAGATTTGAAGCATCAATGAGATGAGGGTGAGGGTTCGTTTCACAGCATCTGCTGCAAAGACTTCCCAGGGATGCCAGGACCTGAACAGCCCATCAATCCTAGTTTGCGTTTAGGGTCTCAGGATTTAGGGTATTTGGGCTTAGCATTTGGGCCTAAACTCTCCGCCCCCTCCCTTAAATCGTGCGGTGGAGTTGCGTGGATGAGCCGGAGGAGCGACTCAGCTTTGAATTGGCTGTCCTGGTTGGCAAGCATTAACTACTACTTACACAATTCTCAGGTTTATGCATGGACGCCATCTGGACTTTAAACACACGGGCTTGAAGGGTTTCGGGTTTAGGGGGAGCCTGAATGCAAAACACCATTGGTCCGCAAACAGGCCTGCTCTGCCGCCTGTATGCCCCGCACCGCAAACCTATGCAAAGCCCTGTCTGCGAGACAAGTGGGTAATCTAGGGGCATTAATGATTAGAATAGGGTTTTGGGGTCCACTGTACTAGAATTACTACAAGGACCTCCCAAACTAGTGTTGGTACTTATTTCGGCCCTACATGAGTTGCTACATAACCCCCAACAGTCCTAAGGTCTAAGTGGAAAGGCACTTGATCGGCAACTGCAGGTTCCTGGTCCAAGTGCAAAACCCTATTCTAATTCTTAAGGCCCCTACATGAATACGGTTCTGGGTTGAGGGCGACGCACTGATAATGCAGCCGAGCTGCTGGACAAGCTGACTCGCATCTGACTATCGAGCGCATCAGGTGCGATGCGTGAAAAGGGCGGATGTCCTTGAGGAGCGTGACAGTGTCCTTGTCCGGATGCGCTTTCTTAGGAGCTTGGATAAACACGTTTTGAAAGTTGAACGTGTAAAACCCTAAACCCTAAACCCTAAACCCTAAACCCTAAACAAATACTTGGGCACACATGACAGCGGCAGCTAGTAGCCCAGCAACCGAAGCCTCCCAAAACCCTACGGGGACTCCTCCACCCCGACTCCCTAACCCGCTTCACTGCTGAAACTCCTAGCTTCCAAGCCGCTATATACCGTGACAAACTCCCAAACTTTCATTGGTACTGTTATGGGGGGATACTTTCCCAAATCATAATAAGTGGTTCCTAATCTCGACAACCTACATTCTACTACATGGGTAGTTCTCTAAATTAGTGACCCTCTTAGGTCCCCAGAATCGTACGGCAGCCTTATAAAAAGGACCCTAGACGCCACCTAATTTGGAGAACTACCTATATAGGTACTTAGGACCCCTCGAGATTGAAAAGGATGTGAAGCGGGTTCGACTAAGGCCTCGGATCATGTGAGGGCTTGTGGGTGGCTAAGGGGAATCCAAGAAGGCCAGTGTGGGGTTTAGGGCTTAGGGTCTGGGGTTTATTCTTTCCACCCGGTCCGCTGACTAGGTCGCGCGTTTAGGGTTTAGCTTTGAAGCTGTCACGGCATCTTAAGGGATCCTTGCGAGCCTGAGAGTTTGAACGATTCTGCGTGCCTAGTGCGAAAGATCCCGGAGCCCTGTATGTTGGAGCATATGCGTAATAAGCTGACAGTTAGGCTTTTGGGGTTTAGGGTTAGGGCGCAATACGCAATGCGACTTTCCTTTGCGGAGAACGGGCTTGCGCTTCAACATCATGGTCCGGGTTATATTCTTACAGGGCATCATCTCATCCAGTGTGTTTGAAAACAGACAAGCCTGGGAGCTAGAGGATCTTCTGATATGCGGGTGTTGAGAGGCAGAATGTGTTGACGTATGCTATGCTAGAATGATACAGGGGCTTAACAAGGTTCTAAGGCATCTAAGGCACTTTATGGTTCAGGGGCTTTGTGATTGTCAGGTTTGGGCTTAAGCCTTGCACGGAACGGGCCGATAGATATCTTTGATGTGCCGAGACCGCTGCATTGATAAGAACATCTTGCACCGACAAACAACAACCAGCTGAAACCCTAAACCCAACATCCGCAAGCCCATGAGGCCGAAACCCCAAACCCTGTCACTTCACCCTCAGGCTCAAGCCGAACTGCAGGTAAAGCTGGAATCGTATGGCACGGGAATCTGGAAAGACAGCGTCAGGAAATGCCTGGTAACCCGAACAAAGAACTCTTCAACTAGTGACCGAGACCATTCACAGGCATAAACTCATATCCTGAATTGCCAACAACCAGGGCTTACTCAAACAAGAAGATAAGGGAGACAGATGTACCGGTTCGTGCGAAAGCCTGCTCTACCCAGGCTTACTTGCAGGTACTTCCTTTTCTGAATTCTACTGAGGGTTGTTTGCCATATTCCTCACTCCGTCAGGCGATCAACCAAGTAGCTCGCTCGCTCTCTCTCTCTCTCTCTCTCTCTCCCTCTCTCTCTCTCTCAAGCCTAAACCGAGCACCCTAAACACAATACCTTAAGCCTCGAAAATGTTTGGCCCCGAGCCCTCAAGCTTAAACCCCTTTATGCTGCAGGCTTGCAAGCAAGACAACCTTAAACCCCTAAACCCTAAACCCTATAAGCCTTTCTGCATCCAGGACTCTTAACCCTAACCTTAAACCCCTGAACCTAAACCCTAAACCCTAAACCCTAAACCCTAAACCCTAAACCCGGGACCAAACCCAAAGTCTTATTCTCTCCAAGCAACTAGTTTGTCTTTCGTCGCCTCCGGGACGAGTACGGCCAATACTTTCGCGGGACGGCCCCGACTTCTCGTGTCTGCCGCCCTGCCCAGAAGATGGGTTAGAGCTTAAGGCTTACAGGTTTAGGGTTTAAGGTTTGCAGTTCCGTATGTGTTTTCATTACCACAGTCGGGCTATAAAGCTACGCAAACGAACAAACAAACAGGCAACTCCAAAACAAACAAACTGACAAACACACACACACACAAACAAACAAACAAACAAACAAACAAACAAACAAACAAACAAACGAACAAGCAAACCAACAAACAAGCAAACAAGCAAACAACCACAAAAACACACAAACAAACAACCACAACAAACAAACAAGCAAACAAGCAAGCAAACAAACAAACAAATAAACAAACACTTCGTCACCGTTCTTTAGAGTAAACACATAAGCAAGTATGTGAATAACAACCCAGTAAATACACAGTTAAATGCACAAGTACGTAAATATGAACAAACCCACACATACATACATACATACATACATACATACAAACAAAAAAACAAACAAACAAAAGCATACATACATACATACATACATACATACATACATACATACATACATACGTACATACATACATACATACATACATACATACATACATACATACATATGTATATGTAGTACATAATATTGTTGCTTTAACTTTCCCAACAGCTCTCAAAACAGCGGTAGCCTGTCAGTTGTTGAAGGAGGTGCAGCGGCTACATGCTTTCTGACATATTAAGGGGTTGGTTCAGGGTTTGTGTTTAGGGTCCTGAGCTGTGGGGTTTTGTTTGCCCCCTGCCTTGCGACGAGCCTGGGTTATTTGGTCTATGTGGCGTTTGGGTCCATAAACATCATAAACTACAGAACTGCCCTGGGAAGCTTCCAAGCAGTCGAACCAGAGTGTTGGCGAAAGCGAGCACATCGCAACGAGTTCCATCATCATTAGATGTGAAGGGCCTCACAGTATCGCGGTTTCCTGTGTAAGCCGCAGGGATCCACAGGGTGTGATCAGTAACCATTCTATGCTATAGTCTCCAGTCACATTTCTCCTTGTAGGGTCCCCCCCAAAATAGCTAACCATCTAAGAAGGGTTCCGCAATGGAGACAATTAGACGCTCGCATGCACACGCCCGACTAGTAAACATAAAGCCGTACTCAGGACACATAATTACCCATTACGATTCAACCCGGTCATACTAAGGGCCCCGAAATATTACAACTAGGACCTTGATTTGAGGTACTCTGCAGTCGGTTGGGGTCTGGGAGTTGTTCTGGTTCCTAAGGTCCCTTTGAAGAAATGACCCTTGGGAATACACTTCCTCAAGCCAACACGGAAAATGCCGTAAAACTACTTGTATGGGACGGTTATTTCCAACAACGGTGGCCGAGAGGCTTGACCAAAAGGGCGCACAGCTCCTTTGTTGTTGTCTCAAGTTGATCTCGCATGAGGGTCCCCTTCTTTGCTTGAGGCTGTACCGGGGTCTATGAATATTGTTTGGATGTCTTTCGCGGCGTTGACAGGGTTTAGCGGGTTTATAGTGCTTCTTGGGTACCCTGAGGGTCCATGTACCCAAAAAGTAGATACCTTGGCCTTAAAGTGGTCCCTATTTGGGTACTTTGGGGCCAAACTATCTACTACCCTAACCCCCCAGGTACCTACTATATAGGGCCTTAGGGGCTCTAGTACCCTATATAGTAGGTACCTGGGGGGTTAGGGCTAGTTGGGCACATGGACCCTTAGGGGCATGGGGATGTGTAGGGCGGTGCGGCTAGCGGCAGACTTCCGAACTTTTGGGTCGCCAGGTTTGCTTTGCCCCAAGGGTCCAAAGGACCCAATAATCAGGTACTTAGGTTTCGGATAGTAGTTATGTAGGTTAGGTTTAGGGTTTAGGGTTTAGGTACTTAGGTTTCGGATAGTAGTTATGTAGGTTATATACTATTTGGGAGAGTATATGATTATTAGGTTAGGTACTTGGACCCTTAGGGTCCTGGTAGTTTTGGTGCGGCTTTCGACGGCCTGTTCAGGGCCTCGGAGTCCCGGTCAGTCAAGGCTTAGGAGTTGAGGGTTTAGGAATTTAGGCTTTAGGGTTAGGGTTTAGGGTGGCTTAAAAATCTTGGAAAAGTGGCGACATGATGGTGCAGCGTGTGGGAAGCAAGCGGGAGATCGGCACACCTCTTGCGGCTAAACGATGCCGCGATCATAAAAAAAACGCTGACGAGCGCCAGTGTTGAGCACAAGGCTCATCAAACCCCGGTTCTTCGATTGGTGCTGAACCGCACAGCAACTACACCTGAAGTAAGCGCAGGGACTTAGTTCGCCGCCTCGTGTATGGGATGCCTTCCGCGTAGCTTCCCGCATTTTAGGACCCTGCCGCGACACGTCTCCATGCGCCTGGTGTGATATTATCCCCCAGACCTTCCAACATCCCTTGATCAAGGAGTATATTCCTTAAATCACGTAATAACCTAGAACAATTTAAGGTATACCTATAGTCTGCATTGTAGTTCCTTTTTTTGGTTAACCAAATTTATATAGGATCCTAACCATAAATTAAAATTGGTTAACCAAAAAAAGGAACTCCAATGGAGACTATAGGTATTCCTTCAAGAAAGGATATTGGAAGGTCTAGGTAGCTTGAAGCAGCTGCTGCAGTCCCGGGCCCCTGAAATAGCGAATGCCCACGCTGCGCTTGCGAGATCTGCAGCGCGTGATGCATTTAGGGTTTGGGGTTTGGGGTTTAGGGTTTAGGGTTTAGGGGTTTAGGGTTTAGGGTTTAGGGTTCAGAAAACCTTTTCATTGCCAGCAGAAATCGCCCTGGCCCCAAACCCTGAATCCTGCTTTGCATCTAGTTGGCAAAAATGGAAAGCAAGAACACATGCAAGAGCCCACGCACCTTAAAACCAAAACATACAAAAACTGCACCCTAAACCCTAAACCTTAAAACAAAAAACATACAAAAACTGCACCCTAAACCCTAAACCCTAAACCTTAAAACAAAAACATACCAAAACTGAGAGCCCCTGAACTTCAACCCGGCGTCGGTCTGGGAGAGATTTGTGGGAATGTTCTCCGTCAAGGCCGGCCATACCGTTTCAGCAACCTGCATCTCCTCAGCTTCCCGTTCTTGGAGGCCCAGGGGACTTAGTAATTCGGTTATAAGTAGGATTATAATTAGGGTAACTCTATTTAGGGTACTTATGACTCTACTTACAACCTGCATCTCCTCAGCTTCCCATTGGGGACAAGGCTTTTGGGTACCCATAGGCCCTAAAGTAGTTCCTTTTGGGGTTTCATATACAGAATTTACAGAATCCTATAAGGTAACCCCCAAAAGGAACTGCTATGGGGCCTATCTCCTCTTGGGCTTCAGGTTAGGGTTTTTGCCTCCCACTGAGTCGGGTGTAAGGCTTAGGGCTTAGGGTCTAGGGTTTCTTGGGTTAGGGCTTCAAGAGTTTGTAGAGTTTAGCTGCTTTTCTTGAGAGGGCGGGGGTTCAGGGGAGACGGGGGTTGTAAACGGGCGCTCATGGTCGGAAATTGGGGGGGGGGATGGTCCTCACTTGTCAAGGGGGCTCAATACTTGGAATAGGGTTTGGGCTCATATCACCCTACAGCCATCCATAAGGAACCCGAGAACTAGTGTACTGCTTATGGAGGCTTCTATGATGGTTTCTGGGAGTTAGCGAGTTCAGGTTTACAGTAAGGCTGCCGTAGGGCTGCAGCAAGGATCGGTTCGGGGCTCAGTGTTCCGACATCTGCCTACCCTAAACCCTCGACCCAAACTTCTGAGAGGATTCGGCCTTTTTCATGGCTCTGAAAGCTTACCTTCTGAAACTGTTGCCGCCCGAAACTCTACGCCGGAAAGCTCAAAGACCATTGCAGGCCTATCTCCTCAAAGACCTGGCCAATGACTCTTCCTAGAGCCTACACTGTGCAAGCATAACATCCCCCGGCATAAACAACCCCATACCCTAAACTTTAGACCGCCTAGCCTTCATACATCGGCGCCCAAGTCTCTCTTTTGCGTGCCAGGCTATTCGTACGATCCGTCTTTCGCATCTCCGCATTGTCCATCGCTCCTCCGCCCGCCGCTGCGACTTTTCTGCGTGGTTGAACCCTAGATGCCTAGGGGTTTGTAGGGCTTATAGGCTTTAGGGTCCCATAGGGCTAGCGGACATGAGGGGCTTGGGATTCAGGGTGTACGAAAAACTCCAACCCGTCGGATGAAACCATAGGCGGGAAGGACTCTTTCTTTCCAAAGTAGACGGCGTTGATCTTAAGAACTACATAAGGAACCGGCCTAATTAAATAAGGGTGATAACTCGGCAATGATTTCGATCCGGGTTTAGGGTTTTTGGTTTGGGTGCTGTAACTTGGTTCGCCTTATATACCTCATGAGTCACTTGAAGCCCTTTTACCACGTCCTTGTGTAAGCTTGATCTGCACGGAACCGTTGGAGACGGTTTGCAACTCGAAGCTCGTCTTTTCCAGAGACCAGCTTGAGGTCAACTTCTCAAAGTCTTTTAGCCTCCCGCGATCTTGGCTCTTCTCGCAGGTTCAGGGGTGTTGGAGTATGTGAGTGAGACAGAGAGAGAGAGAGAGAGAGAAAATATGTGCGTGGGTGTGTTGAATATCCTTCCTCTCTGGCATGTATGTATGTATGCACAAGGAAACATACATATGATGTGTATACATATAAACACTTATGTACATAAATCTGTATACACACACGCATATATATATATATAAATAGAGGGAGAGAGAGACATACACAAATGTATTCACCTACGTCTCTCTCTATCTATGTATATACACACATACATAAAAAAAAACGCATACAGACATACCCCTATATATATATATATATACCAACATGATATGTAAATACATATGTAGAGGCATGTATATACGTACATGTATGTACATATATACATAAATGCGTGTAATTACATGTGTATGTATGTATACGTATGTATTCCTGCACGCATGTATGTATGCATGTATGTAGCATTCAGTACGCAGCCTCTCGTAGCGCTTGCTGCTGCTCCAAATGTCGCATGGGTGCTATTGGTTTGAGGGTGGCCTTGCATGTGATTTTGTGTGTTTGCAGCGGCATTTGCAGGGTTGGTGGTAGCGAAGGTTATGGTGGCGGTAGTGACGATGCCGGTGGCAAGAATGGTTGTGATGCAGGCGGCGCCGGTGGTGGTGGTGGTGGTGGTGGTGGTGGTCGTCGTCCTCGTACAGCGGAGATGGTAGCTAGTGGTACAAGCAGTAGTAATCACTAGTAGCAGCGATCGCACTACTACTAGTAGTACTACTAGTAGCAGAAAGAAATAATAGTAGTCGTAGTAGTAGTCGTCGTAGTAGTAGTAGTAGTAGCAGTAGTAGTAGTAGTAGTAGTAGTAGTAGTAGTGGTAGGAGTAGGAGTAATGATCGTAGTAGTAGTAGTAGCAGTAGTAGTAGTAGTAGTAGTAGTAGTAGTGGTAGGAGTAGGAGTAATGATCGTAGTAGTCGAAGCAGTGGCGGTAGTAGTAGTAGTAGTAGTAGTAGTAGTAGTAGTAGAAGTACAACAAAACAGGTCTGCAATTGAGGTTATGCCATCCTGAAGCCCTGAACAATGGAATCCCTTGCAATGTCTGGCGCCCTCCCAAAATACCTTGAAAGGCTTCTTGATTCGGGGTTGACCCATGAGGCTGCAAGGCTCCCAGGCTTAAAATTGTCCGTGAAATCGGAGCATGTGCCCTGCCTCTTCTTGAGATGCTCCACCACCTAGCGGAGCCGAAATGAGGGGGGCCTTAGGATTTTGGGGAGTTTGCTAGCAGGGGCAGCTAGATAACATGAGCTCCAACTTGATCTCAAGAATGGCGGGCTGACCGAAAGGGCGGATTGGGGGCTCTATATCTATGCAGTTTTGGGTCGGTGCTGGGTTCTGTCTAGAGCATGGCAAACCCCATTGGTATAGAATGTATATTGACCCAACAAACAAGTAGGTTTCGGTCGCTCAAGGTAAGGATTAGGAACCGTGGTCCGTTAGAGCCCCAGAAATGTCACGCCTGCCGTGCCGTCAACGCTGAGTGATGTGCCCTTATCCCAAGACCCCTCTGCCCGGCCTCCTTCATATCAAGGTAACCGCGAGCAGACCCTGCCGAATCGTAGAGTTCGTAAATGGCATCCTCAATCCTTTCCTGGGTTTAGGGTTTGGGAAGAGACCAGGGAGAACAAAAACATTGATGTCTAGTTCCTAAAACGTTTGTTTGGGGGAACCGATTCCCCCCAAAAAAGCAGTAAAGTATAGAACTCCAGAACCCAGCTTTCCAAAAACACCCTGAACCCTAAACCCTAGTACCCCACGGGCAGTACCTTAAGGATCTGAACCACCAATGCTCTAATACCCTAAACCGTAAACCCAGTTTCCGTAGAGGTGATGCTGCTCTCCGACTCGTCCTCGGTCTCTTTGAGAGGTGTTTTCTCGGACTTGTCCTGGCCCAAGCAAAGTTTGGGCTTAAGGTGTCTATCCGCTCGTCCAGAAGACAAGGCTTAAGGCATGGGATCTAGTGTGTAGTTGATTTTTCGCCGGACCTTTTTCCCAGCCGCAATAGGTTTAGGATTTAGTGTTGGACAACACCCTAAATAGCTTCAATTAAAGGCAGTCGAGGCTTCAACTCCGGCACATACCGGAAACTGCATAGCATCAAGTTTCATATTTCAAGCGTAAGATGTTGAGATGTTGACTGCCTGCGGTTCCGACTGCCTTCTTCTTGGCACATGTTTGCATCCATCCTGCGGCGCTCCTCTGGGCACATGAAGCCCCAAACCATCAAAACCCTGAAACCCCTGTACAGCATAATTACTGCAACCTGTATAACTTATAAGAAAGACTCCGGACAAGCCTAAACCTTGGACCTGTAACCTGCCAGCCTTGCGATTTGCGCAGGCGGTTGGGTTTTTCGGGCGAAGCATTTGGATAGTTCTCTAAGTTAGGGTCCCTTTTTAAGTCCCCCAAATAGTGCGGCCCCCTTATACAAAACTCAAAGGGAACCCCCATTTAGATAACTACCCATTTCGTGGTTTGGGCCACGGGTTTTCCCTAAACCCGAAGTCGCCGACCGGCTCTGCCAGGCTAAGTTAAGAGCCATCTTGGCGGCGTGAACAGTAGCCGCAGCTCGATAAGTTCAGAGGTTGGGCCGGGCGCTCCTAGATGACGGTTTAGGGGAGTTGCATTCCACAACCATGGTATGAGCTCGCAACATTCGACGCTAAACCCTGAACTCTAAGACGTTCGATTTAGAAGGGTATACGCTCAGATTCAGCCAGCACCCGGGTGCCTATACTCTGAACTCTGTTCCGACGCAACCCCCGAAACCCCCCTGACCGAGCCGAGAAGCGCCTGGCCTCAAAAATACGGTTTTTTTCCCTCCCACTTAGCGGGAGGGTTTAGGGTTTAAGAGGAGTGTCATTGAGCACCCCAAAATCTGAACCAAAAACCCTAAAGCCTAACCGAAGTCAATAAGGGGCCTGTACTACTACGGACAGTCGCAAGCCTGTTCCCAGATACCAGAAAATGGTCTGCATGAACTCAACATGGCGAGGATCAAGGATAGTAGTGAATAGTAGTGATAAGAAGCTAAGAATATAATATGTAATGGGCATCAAGAACCAATCAGGATACCAACAATGTCCATTGTAGTCCAGCAGCAGCAGCAGCAACAACAACAACAACAACAACAACAAGAATAACAGTAACGATATTGATGTTCCATGGTAGTCCCCATCTCGGTCATACCATTATCTATCGCCCTCCCCCACCCTTTCTGGTGCAAGAACCAAACCCCCTAAACCCTTAAGAACCCTGTCTGCCCCAAGCTTATACTTACCCAAAGGGTCCATGTACCCAAATAGTAGGTACTTTGGCCCCAAAGTGCCCAAATAGGGACTACTACGTAAGGCCAAAGTATCTCCTATTTGGGTACATGGACCCTTTGGGTTAGGGATAAGCCCCTAAACCCTAAACCTAAACCCGAAACCCTTAACCCCTGCCCCCCAGACACGCACTTAGGGATGGTCGGTCCTGATCCCATGGCGCCTTGGGCTTCTCTGCAGGCACCGGCTCGGGAGTGCGGAGCAAGCCTTTCTGCAGGTCTACCTGGACAGGGTGGGTTTTAGGGCTTATAAGGTTTAGGGTTTAGGGGTTTAGGGGTTTAGGGTTTAGGGTTTAGGGTTTTAAAGGTTTTGGGGATTGGTAGTATAAAGTTGCTGAAGACCTCCCTATGGAAGGGGGGAGGCCTGATGAATCGGCGTCTGCATCTTTGGATTTAGGATTAAGGCTGCTGAGGCTTACTGAGTGAAAGTGGTCCACCATCAAACCATCAACTGCGATTCAGGTTCAGGGTTTGATCAATCGAGCGCGACAAACCTTTTTAAGCCAAGATGTGCAGAGCCGCGAAAGCCAAAAAATCTGCACAAGAATGACAGGATGCAGACCCGATCCCTGCAAGAATCGGAGACCCTTTTATGAACCTTAAACCCTGTAGTAGGATCCGGAAACTTCCGAAGTTCTAGATAGACTCGACGTTCGCAAGCCCCATCCGTTCTGACCGCCCCCGGCCACCTGCACAGTCCCGCCGCAGGTTTTCCTCAGTGCTTCGAGCTCATAAAAAGCGTTCGGGCTGTAAGGTCGCGTCCTACTTCTGATATTTCCCTAACCCAAAGGGTCCAAAGGACCCAATAATCAGGTACTTCGGTTTCGGATAGTAGTTATGTAGGTTGCTGTTTGGGAGGGTATATGATTATTAGGTACTTGGACCCTTAGGGTAAGGGTCCATGCACTCACATAGTATACACATAGGCCTTAAAATAGTCCCTATATAGGTACCTTGGGGCCTAAGTATATACTATTTGGGTACTTGGACTCTTATAGGGTTTTATCACTAAACCCAACCTAAACCCTAAACCCTAAACCCTAAACCCTAAACCCTAAACCCTAAACCCTAAACCCTAAACCGTGGTACCTTCTATTGCAGTTTGCTAGGGTTTCATCTTGCTTCCACGGAAGACCCAGGTCGTGGTTTCGATGGTTGTAGCATCCGGTGGTGAAACCTTGAACACAAAGGCCCTAAACCCTGAACCCTAAACCCTAAGCCCTAAACCCTAAACCCTAAACCCTAAACCCTAAACCCCTAAGGCCTTGTTCCGAAACCCTGCCTGTGGCTCCAACTACCTTTTTCTCTAGCGGATATACGCCCTGGTCTTTACACCCTAAACCCTGCAACAAAGAACAAAGGCAGCAGAGGTCATACAGATCCTACTAGTTTGCAGTGCCCAAAGCCGCCAAATAAAGGACCCATCAGACTAAAATAGAACTTCTATGCGCGCAGATGGTGCATCTTTGCTGCGCGTCGCCTGCCGATTCTAGATGCTCCGTCCGATTCTTGCAAAAGCTTTGCAGTATCTGTCCCGTTTAACCCATCCACCCCCGAACTTCTCGAAGCACCAGGAAACCCTAAACCCTAAATCCTAAACCCTAAACCCAAAACACAACTCACCGAGTCAGGAACCTGGAACCCTGAGTTCCCACCCACGAAGCACTTCACCCCGAAGCATCTTTGACTGGCTGACTGGCATCCCTAAACCCTAAACCCTGCTAGGGCTTATGGAGCCTATGGGTACACCAGCAGGTTTTAGGTTAGGGGCTGCAGGGTTGGGGGGGCTTTTGTGCCGCTCAGGGGTTTGAAGTTTGGTGTTCAGGGCATAAGAATAGAGCTGCAGGGTCTTCGGGTCGGAAGTCTTGTGTTTAGGGTTGTAGGATTTGCAGGATACGAATCTATTAATGGGGCTGCAGGGTGTTTGGGGCTTGAAGCTTAGGGTTCTACCTGGACCCTAAAGAACCTACTGTTTTAGCATTCCTTACTATGATTTCTGAATATAAGTCTTGAAAATGGGTAGGTTATTTGAGGTTATAAAGTAGGGAATAACTTTGCAAGGTTGTACGGTTGGAAGGTTTGGGCTTAGGGTCTTCCTGTTGAAGGGGGAAGAAGACGGCTACAGAGTTGTAGGATTTAAAGTTGAAGGAAAATAGGGGTTAGGGTTTAGGGTTTAGGGTATAAGAACTAGGCTACAGGGTCTGGGGGCTTGACATTTAGGGTCCACGGTTGTTGAGACCAAACCATGACAGCCAAGGATCAGAATCATGGTCATGACCTGGCGGTGCATAAACATCCCCACACAACCCTCCAAACAGGCACACGAAGCCCAAAGCACTCAAGTCCCGAAACCCTGAGCGGAAGAAGCCGGCTTAAGGATTGTTACGTATTGGCGTGTGATGGTAGGGTTCGGAATTTAAGTCTTCATGCATGTAGGCTGAAAGATTTGACATTGGTGCTGTATTCGGGTTGATTGGGTTTGCTTTTCGGGCTCAATGTGATCTTCTAGAGCTTCGAGTCTAATGCGACCTGGGTACCTTAAATCATACCAGGGATCCTACTACTTTAATGTCTACCTTAACGGTTTAGTGTTTAGGGATATTGGGAGGTCTGGGCCCTCAACCCTGGCAACGAGGGGCCTGGGGTTTAGGAGGATAGGGATTCCGATTGCTGAGTTTAAGGTTTAACGTTTAGGGTTAAGGGGTTAGTTAGATTAAAGAGAGTCATAGCACCCAATGCAGGGGTGGGAACAAATAGAGCAGCTTGCAAATAAGGATTGCTATACGGTTTCAATAAGGGATTTATAAGCTTTTTTGGGTGTTTGAGGCCTGCGTAGTGAGACAGGGGTTTGGGGCACTGTGCACTATATTTACTTGTTCTACCCAAAGGCTCCACGTGTGGATATAGGCAATACTTGGCCTCAAATATACAAAGAGGACACTTTGTACTATATCGACACGTGGCTTTTTCTTGTGTTGGAACATACCAGGCAACATCACAGCCTACACATGGTACTAGGCATAGGTATAAGAGCATTGCTAGGTCGACCTACCTGTCCTACGTCCTACCTTCCTACCGACCTACGATTCTTTTTAAACAAACTTCCGTAGTAGTACTACCGCAAATTATCTGGCAGAAAAATATATAGCTATAGGGGTGGATCCGGATGGATATATTAATATTCATATTAAGTGTTTCTGTTGTCTGTGTGTGTGTGTGTTTAATTATTGTCATGTGCAGAGATCGTTATATGTGTCTGGTGTGTGCACGTGTGTGTGTGTGTGTGTGTGTGTGTGTTTGTGTGTGTGTGTGGGGTGCCGCTTCAGCATGTCTGTTTGTGTCTGTCCATTTCTTGTCTGATGTCAGCCATGTATGTCCACTTCGAACACCATGCGATCCGTGTCCGGTCAAGGTAGGAACCTGGCTCATGCATGTTAACAACGGTGGATTCATAATGAGCCTATTTCGAGATTGCAGGCCTAGTGAGGATGTCGGTTTGGGCATTGTGCTCGTGTCTATATATTAGACCTCGTGCATACTTATAATTGCAGCTGCTGCTGCTAATATATGGTACTGGTGGGTTCCGAATTTTCCTAATTAGAAGCATGCCTGGCCGGTGGGCTGTGCTGAACGAGACGATGAAGCGGAAGGCCGCAGAGCTGGAAGGTGCACCTCCCCCGCTGCCGCTGGTTAGTGTGCTGCAGGCTTGCATGCGCAGGCTGTTTGCTGGGCATGCACATATGTGTGGATAGGTTGCTGTGCCATGTTCTATGCTCCACACATGCAGGTTTTCGGGGCTCAGATGTGTGCGCAGCAATGCTGGCAGTACCGTACCTACAAGCTACTCGAGAAAACCGAACCGGGCTCTATCCATATTTATTATGTATGGGCAAGCTCTGTTGTGACTTACAACGCTTTGCATAGAGCCTTCCGGCGCAAATCGACATGGCGACGGGACCTTACGAGTTCAAACACATGGATGGTGTTCGTCGCACAGCGGCGGGGGACTTGGTGCATGGCAGACAAGTGATTCGCCCGCTGCGTTTCTTTGTCAGTGAGTCTAGGCTGCAGTGGAGTTCGAGCGGTTGCAGTGTAGCTACGGTATGATATGCTGCATATGGTCACGGTTTAAGATCGGACACATGTAGACATACATGCACACATGTACACGATATATCATATGGCTGTTGACACTCTGCAGAACTTTGGTGCTAATTGTTTGTTTGGAATTCCATGTGGCACCCGGTCTCACAAGGAAAGAAGCTTGAGGATAGTTGCTGCACTTCGGGAGCCGGTGGAAGCACGCATGGACGAGCTGAAAGCCGACAAAGTGGCTTGATCGGTTTTTTGGTGTCTGCAATTATAACGAACTGAAGAAACCATGATCAGTTGAGCTAAGGAAACTAGGATCGTTCAAGTCCTAGAGACAAAGATCCAGCAGCTGGACTTGCTCAACGAGAAAAACTTTGCCATCATGAAGAGCTACACAGTTCACATGATGAATGGAGTTTCACAGCGCACCGACTTGGTCACATCCAAGGAACATCGTGCAACCATGCTGTATGTTGCATGCCTGTATGGTATATATGACTGCAGTACGAAAGCACTTGCCAAGAAAGGGGCCAAAGGCCACTTCAAAGACTGGGCAGAAGTACAAGGTACAAGGCTGAGATGGCTGGCGTCGTACCTGGTGAATGCCATTGTTCGCTCACCGTTTTCGAGAACGCATGAACTGAGTGTGCTCAAGGGCTTGTGGCACCAAGTCAACGGCAAAGAGTTGCCGGAGAAACCATGCAGAAGGCCTTCCCAGTCGAGTGTGGAGTCTGCTATGGAGGTGCACCTTATAATCGAAGTTGGCAAACAATTTTTTCTGGTCTTCAAAACTGAAATATAGCCAGACTCTGTTAGTAATCCGGGTTTCCGAAAACATGGTAGGTGGAGGATCTGCAGCACATCGATGCTGAGGAAGCCGATCCGGATTTCGATGATGTTTTTCAAATCTCAGATGATGAAGATGAGGAGGTTCCGAAACTGTGTTCCCTAATAAGTGAATTTGTTGGGAAGTGAGAATGCAAGTGTCAGCAGCCTCTAGGCTATACTGCTACATATGCTTGCATGTATATACACATGAGCTCAAGCCCACACAGGAAGGTGCCGATGCCGATGAGATGGAGCTGCAGGCAGTGCTAGCATGTTGCATACCACACATGCATACACGACAAAGCATGTGTCCAATGGATGTGTAGGCAGCAGTGGCCCCAGTCGATGGCAAGGATATGGAGATGGAGGCAGCGCATAGCTTGCAGCAACAGTCGACAGCTTGCATCACAAACCTAATTCAACAGGAAGCAGCGGCCCCGATGGTTGCCCAGCAAGAAATGGTGCTGGAGGCTGTGTCAACAGCACATGACATGTATACAGATATGAGTCCTAAGTTGTGCAGGAAGCACCTGGCCCAGTGGAGACCCAGGAGCCGAGATCGGGTGCCAGGTTCAGTAGGTTCGCCAAGTGTTTCAAATTCTGATGCGCAGGACGGCCCCGCGAGTCCATCTATGTGTGACCAGGTCCACAGATGTAGAAGTTGCTTAAGATTCGGTGTTTAGGAAGTGGGCTTTCTGGGTATTGCTGATCATTATATTATTTTTTTTGTATCCTGGCACAGGCTGTGGAGCCTTCGGCCGATGAAGGATGTGTGGTCATTGACAGTGACATCGATGATCATGAGTCTGACGAGGATACTGTGTGTGTTCTTTATTACAAGAGTGTATGTGCAGGTGCAAATTGACGAGCCGTCTGGCTACGCATGTACGTTTGGAACACTGAAAACCGTCCTTTACAAGTTTGCTTTTTCTGATCAGGAGCGGATGAATTATTGTGGCCGGCTGAAGATTGAAGACATACCTATCGGCTTGATTTCAAGAGCTTCCAGGTTTCGAGTGACCTGGATTGATGTCATGTACTTCTTCGTATGCAGCAAGCCTGATCCAAACAACATAACCCTAGGCCTGAACTGTAGACCTTAATATGAATAAGATAACTAGTAACTATATAATATAAGTGAGTGGCCATGGAATGTGATGCATATGCGTGCCGGCATGGCATGAATTGCCTTCATGAGATACGTGCCCGGTGGACCGTGCACCATTTCATCAGTACGTGTGCTCATCTATATGTTGATTATAATGTGCGTGTGTGTGTGTGTGTGTGTGTTTTGCTTTGTATCACTACATATCTGTGCTTCCATCTCTATGTGTGCCATCCAAGCAAGAAACATGTGATCAGGCCGAAGGCCTGGCGAGTGCCTCCAATGAAGGTGGTCCTAACCAGGATGTACATGTGCCTTGGACGGTAAGAGTTAGTTTCCAGCGGGGTTCAGTAATTATAGTATCCAGGTTGCATCGTGTATTAGGAGTGCACCGTTTTGCAGAAGTTCAGTGTTTCAGGTGCCGGTATAAGGCGTGCAAAACTGCCGAGGTTGTGGATTCTGTGTGTATGCCAAGTGTACAGCTGTGGCCGCCCAGGTGCTGATTGCTCCCAGTCAGGGTTTGCAAATGGATGCTGAAATGGATCCTGTGCCCTGGATAAAGAGCCGAGTGTTTCGAAACTATATGTGTCATTTGGCGTCGGTAGATTGAGGTGGTGCATTCAGTGACTGCTTCCTTTCATGAGAGTGTCGATGCCACCATGGATCGGGTGCCCTGGAATGTGGAGTGCATTGCTTAAAGTTATTACGTGTCTTTGGCATCGTTGCTGTGCCCAGGCTGTGGATTCAATGACTGGTTCCAGTTATGAGGGCGTGGATGCCAACAAGGATGGGGTGACCTGGTTCAGTGCATTGCTTCAAAGTTATTTCGTGTCTTTGGCACCGTTGGTGTGCCGAGGCTGTGGTTTCAGTGACTGCTTCCAGTCATGAGGGAGTCGATGCCGACATGGATGGGGTTACCTGGAATGATAAGTGCTTCTGAGTTATTTAGTGTCTTGCGCATTGTGCATCGTTGGCGTGTTGAGGCTTTGGATTCAGTGACTGCTCCATGTCATGAGAGAGTCGATGCCGAGATTGATCGGGTGCCCTGGGGTTATAAGTGGCGCGCTGCTTAAAAATTGAGTGGTGTCATTGGTCTAGCTGGAGTGTTGAGGCTCCGGATTCAGTGGCCCTTGTCGTGTTTGTGTGTGGATGTCCACACGGATGGGGTGCCCTGCTCGTAGCATTATGTTTATTATAAGTGCTTTGTTGGTTCAATGTCTTTTGCTGTACGTGCCGGGCATCACTAGAGTGCTAATGTGTATCTAAACGGGACATGTGTAAATGCAACTGCCCAGGCAGATGCAACCAATCGAAAAGCCAACGATGCTCACCTGGCTTCGGTGCCCTGCAAGCATTTCATGTGGGTGGCTTTCTTTAGGGGCTGTCGGTGCATGTACGATTGTGAGGCCGAAGCTTCAGCTGCTGCTCCCAGCCAGAACATGTGTGCTCATGTGGACATGGTGCCCTGGAAGACAAGAACATGTTCCAGTTTTTGTGTTCATGTCGGTGTACATGCATGTGTATGCATGTGGTGTGCATGTGTGTGTGTGTGTGCGCTGTATGTTTCTGTGGTGCTTTGTTTGCTGTATGCATGTATATATACGTATATGTTATACTCTCTACTTAAGCTTCTGTCTGTCAGTGTGTGAGAGTTGTGTACATGCACAGCTGACAATGTTCTGATGTGTACATGTGTGTGTGTGTGGGGGTGTGTCGGTGAGTGGGCATCTGGGTGTGTGGTGGGTGGGCGGGTGGGTAGGTGAGTGGCTAGGTGGGTGGTTGTCTGGGTGGTGTGGGTGAGTGACTGCATCGTGTCTGTCTACCAGTGCCCACTGACACCACCCCTAGCAATGCGCCCACAGCAACCAGCTCGCACACCTTTTTTTGTACATGTTCTTGAGCTGGGTTCGGTCTGTAGCAGCTGAGGAGCATGGTTTCGATCCCAATATTTGGGATCACAATAACCCTCCGACTGAAGCCGACTGGAAGGAGTGGCGCGAGAAGTACCAGCAATCGGAGTCCGAGGCTCCTTCTTATAGGGATTGTGTTATCGGGTAAAAAAAATAAGGTTTAGGGTTTTGGACTACCAATGATATTAAGATGAACCCCGGGCCCTGAACATTAGCTGTAGCATCTGTGCAGGCCGAGGAAATGCCAGCTGCAGACCCGGGCCCTCGCAACCTCAAGAGGAAGCTGGAGAATGACCTCAATGCAGCCCAGCTTATATGAAACCGTATTCGCTGATGCTGGGGACTTCATCCAGATGCCCCCGAATCTTGTCCCAGGATGCAGATGATGTCGATGAGCAGCAACCGCCACCGAAGGTGAGGATCCAGCAGGCTCCCTTCAGGGTTCCATGTCAGCTGCTACAAGCAATCATCTTTGTAGGATCCGGATGCTGACACCCTCGACTGCACACGGGTAAGCAATGGTGCCCACAAGGTGGGCAGTTTTACCCTGTCAACATGATAAACACTAAGACCTGTGATGGCTAGAACTAGTGTCTGCTGGAAGGACAGGCAGCCCCTGATCGACCCGACGACGATCCTACCACTTCCTGCCGGGATTGTGCAGCCGATGCCTCCGCGTGACAACGGTGATAACTTCGTTGGCCTTCGAAGCAAGCAGGCTGGTGTTCGACAGATGAACCGGGAGGAGTCAATATGGGCTTGTGTTTTTGTCCTGGGGCTTTGGCAATCCAAGACAATTTCACTTAGGGTTTAGGTGTCAGGATCGGCTGTCTGGGGTCCGGGGTTTGGGCTGCTAGGGGCTTAGCCTTTCGATTCCTTGCTATAGAACCCTGGTGAAGTCATTCCTCATCAAAGAACACCCATACTATATAATCACCATAATATCTACGAATTAATATTATAAGCCCTAGCATAAACCTTCGGACCCCGAACCCGAAGCTGCCCAAGCCAAATAGTGTAAGCTATTAATTATAAACCTTAAGACCCTAGATTCCACGAGTCGAGCTCAACAGCTATAAAGTAAGTAGTGGTACTATTGCAGGAGCAAGCTGAGATCACTCTACAGAAGGCTAACAAGCGCAAGAGGGCTGCACCTGCAAAAGAGCTGGGAAATGAGGGGTCCGACCCGGCAAAAGAGCTGGGAAGTGAGCGGTCTGCCCCGGCAAAAGAGCTGGGAAGTGAGGGGTCTGCCCCGGCAAAAGAGCTGGGAAGTGAGGGGTCTGCCGCGGCAAAAGAGCTGGGAAGTGAGGGGTCCGCCACGGCCCCGGCAAAAGAGCTGGGAAGTGAGGGGTCCGCCACGGCCCCGGCCACAGAGCTGGGAAGTGAGGGGTCCACTCCGGCCCCGGCTGTGCCGAAGGCAGCAGTTGCGAAGAAGAAGGTCATCGATCATGCGAAGAAAGCTTCGCAACTTGCAAAGGCACGTGCACAAGCAGCAACTTTGGAGGAGCACGAGGATCTTCAGGATTGCCGACCTAGTTCAGCCAAAGACAACCCTGAATTCTCCTGGGCAAGCTTCGATCAAGTGAGCTTGGACTGCAAACAGCTAGATTCGTACATTGTGGATCGTGCAATTGCAACATATTCTGCTGGAGCTCCTCGACATATACTGCCTTATAAATTAGCTAAGGACCTTTGCAGTGCCCCGCCCAAGCCGAACCCATGCAGATGTGAAGAAGTGTGGAAGCATTACGGTGCGGCTGAATGACAGATCGTTCTATGTCAACAAAGCTGTCTGTCCCCTTCCAGACTTTTCTGCTTCTTGACGATCAGCATAATCTAGCTGAACCTTGAAATGCTGATGTCTTTCTCTGGATATTAAATTGTCATTGCCCAACGTTAAATGTACAGCCTAGGTTGACAACAAGAAAGGGACCTGTGTTGCGTGGAGCAAAGGCTCACTGCCAAACATGTGGCTTTTCTTCATCTGAGATTCCAGGGGTCTTTGTTGTGTTGGGGTACACAGGCCTTCAAGCCTGCCCCTAGGTCCTCTGGGTCGTCTGGGCCCTATTATAATTGTAAAGTCTAGAAGCCCAATAGAGGTTAGAAGCCCAAATCAACACATGCGCTGGATTTCCACATCCTACCGCTGCCACTAAATTAGCATAGAGCTGTGTACACGTAGAGTTTGAGTATCCTCAGGGCATCTCGGGGATGGGGGCTCCAGGGCTTTGAGGCATTTGGTCTTATTAAGGTAAGCTTAAGGGCTATGTTCTATGATCTGACTTCTGGGAATGCTTTGGGTTCGGGGTTGCCTGTTGCTCTTTGGAGATATGGCTTATGTGGTGACAGTATCAATGGTTCTAGCTTCGAAGAGGAGTGCATGTGCAGGGCTCTTCACTTTAATGGGTTGTTCGCTTGAACTGGATTTCGGCACATAGGTGTCCACTGTTAACATCCCGGCGAAATTTGAACTACCTACTTTGACGAATTCCTGAACCCTAATCCCAGTTGTGAGTGGTGAAACCCTAAACCCCAGACCGCATAGGCTCCAAACCCAAACCTTCAGCCTTAAACCAGTTGCCTTGAAAAATTGCCCAGCCCAGGTGGTTGACAGCCAAGATCATCGCCGGCTGGACAGCGCAGCCCACGCCTGGTATTGGAGCCGGCCGGGTCGACGTGTAATAGCTAGCTTTAATTTATGCTCTTACATGTAGACATATGACAATTAACTGCAGTCCCGCAGCCAGCTATACCGACGAGGACACTTTAGGTTGTATTCAAGAATTGCACTGGTCGCAGGTGATGTTGCTGCGGAGTAGCTGATGGCCCCCCACCGCAGGCGCCGATGAGTCGCCAGCAGTTGACTTTTCCTGGGTTTGTGGGCCGAGTGGGGGTGAGGCAGCCCGGGTCTATTAGATTATTAGATCTAGATAGCTACGGTGTGAGGCTGGGTCTTGGTGTTCGAGTCGTCTTGTTGCATTCTAATCTTCTAATTAAGGGCTGCACGTTAGATCCACGTGCCACGGCCGTGTGCATCACCTCGGACCCTTTGCAATTTAAATTTCACTGTGCTTTCTACTCTAGTATGGTGTGTGTGTGTGTGTGTTCCAGAGTTCCACACATCTCAGTACTGCACGAAGTGCACTTGCAGAACTTATGTGCACACCTGAATGTGAGCAAAATAAGACTGCTGCAGACACACACACACACATGTAATTATGTATATAGCAAGAAAGGTTGGATGTAAGCTTCCGATATATAGGATGAGTGTGTGTGTGTGTGTGCATGTGTTTCTCTATGTGGCTACATGTATGCACACATGTGTAAACATGTGTGTGTGTGATGTATGTATGCCTGTACCTACATATGGCTGTATACATATAAATCATATATATATATATGTATACATATCTGTGTTTGCATATAGGTATGTGTCTATATGTGTATGTACACCTCGACTGTGCACATCAGCTTAATGCAAGTGCCATTGCTCCAGAGCTATAGGCTCACTCGAGGACGACAGGCAGGGGCAAATCCACGGAAAATGAGAATTCTTGGCACCAGGATCGAAAGCTTCATGTCCGAGCCCCATGCATGCCCGAGACAGGTTGTCGTGTTTTTTGCGGTCCATGTGCTGGTGTGTTGCAATTCAGCCTGATCGTAGTGACCGATTGCACTTTTAGCGGCAGTTCGTGTGATGAAACTCATTGTCACTGATAAAGCAAAGCTATCAAAGCAAGACGTAACATGTTCAACCGGAGGCTCCGAAAAGCTGTCATAGAATAGGCCTGTGCAGAACCATGCCAAGCTACTTCCGCAACCCGTGTGCTTTGACGGGCTTACAAGTGGCCACTCTGGCTATGCTGCATGTACCGAGCATGTGGACCCTAGGCTGCAATGCCTTCTATTAGCAAACATGGAGAATCCTGGTTCGGATTTAGGGTTTAGGATTTCGATTTTGGGGTATTGGTTTTTTTTAGGGTTGGTACAGCTAAATCTTATATATACACCAAGCAAAACACCCTGATCCCCATGCTTTGGCCGAGGTTGCATTTCATCGACTATGTGGTCAGCAACATCCCAAAGGAGACTGTCCGCGAACCCCAGTCGCAGATAGATGCTGATGTAGAATATGGAGCCCCAGCCTTAGTACCCACAGTAGCTTCTTAACATCATTAGGTTGTCATGTGATCTCTTTTTTTGGACCTCTGCCCAAAACCCCCAAAACGAATCTTGCAGTCCTAGACACTGTTCTGTTTAATGTGCTGCCGATCAGGCCCTGTATCCGATATTCTACACAGTTCCCGAATGTATCTTGCCCACCGATAGGTAGGTATTCTGCATTAGTTTGCCTCGAAATCCATGCGAACCAAGACCTGACGAGAGAGGCCACTGATAGATCCTGTCCCCACAATATCTAGTGTACTACCTAAGCCTCAACCTCGGCATCTACAGTTGCCAAGCCACCCACTACATCCAGAAACGGAACTTATCTCAACTGCAGGCCTGGAAACAGGTTTTCAAGCCTGAGCCCCATTCCCCTACCCCAACCTACGACCTCAACCCTGTAGCCTTTAATTGTTGCATGATGAATCTTGGCTCTGGCTGCTTGTCCAGAACCTTGACAATGTGGAGCTCTTCAGTGGGACCGGTGCCGTGGCCGAGTCTTTCAGTGCCTCGGATGTATAGACTCGTTCCGCAATTGGTGTGTCTGCATGTTTCTTTGAAGCAAGGAAGGCTGGGAATGTCTACGAAGCTTGGCTTAAAATAGCTTGAGGTGGGCCTTAAAGTTTGAACTTGGAGTCCATTGTTCAGCTAGCTGCACCATTGCACTGCAGGCAGGAGTTTGACATCGAGAAACGTGGTGTCGAGAATGACATCCTGAGTGTAACGGGCCTGGCCGTGGCCGTGAAATATGTCCTCCAGTTGAAGCCTGGAGCATTGTTGTATTGCGCAGTGCCGTGTGCCAGCTACAGCTTCATGTCCTCAAGCCGACATAGGAGGACCCTGGATAATCCATTGGGGGATATCTCCTCTTCCTGGGTTCGGGGCCAAAACACTTTGGCTTGTCGTGTGGCTTTGTTGGTGCTCTTGGCTTTGGTTCGACGAGTCCACATCTTCATCGAGCACCCTTCTAGCTCATTACTGCCACATCTTCCTTGGTTCTGCGACATTGCAAGCCTGAACTCAAAGCTCTTCAACTTGAAGTTCTTCCAGATCAAATGGTGCCATGGCTGATTCTCATCGACAACAACCACAGCAACAGCAACACTAAGAGCAACAGCAACCACGGCCAGAGCCAAACAAAAAGCAACAAGAAAACACACCACAGCCTCAGACACGGGAAGCTCCACCACCACTTTAGCGGTGTCCAGCCATAACCCAAACCCGAAGCCCAACTTCCGAACCCCTATACGAATCCCTGAAGCAGTGTTCCTGGACCCGAAACCCAGCAACCCCAAAACCGTTGTTGTTGTTGTTGTTGTTGTTGTTGTTTTTGTTGTTGTTTCTTTTGTTGTGAGGCCTCCGAAACACAGCCGATACGCATCATGGAGGCTCTTTGATTTTGTGGCTATACTATCTAGCTACTGCTAGGACGACTACTCCTACACGTAGTTAGTACTAGTACTAGTACTAGTACTAGTACTAGTACTAGTACTAGTACTACTACTACTACTACTACTACTACTACTACTACTAGTACTACTACTACTTCTACTAGTACAACAACAACAACAACAACAACTACTACTACTACTACTACTACTACTACTACTACTACTGCTATTACTACTCCTACTACTACTACTACTACTACTACTACTACTAGCTACTACTACTACTACTACTACTACTACTACTACTACTAGCTACTACTACTACTACTACTACCTACTATACACTAGTACTACTGCT